CTTATCATATCAAAGATGGGATGAGCAAAAGTGTTCGTCGGTTCTTCCTAACTATTTTTGTGACATGGACCCTTTTGAGATTTGACAAAAACTGTAAATCTCTGCCCAGAAAACTTTGCATGATTTCAGAGGATTCATGGATGTGCCAAAGCCCTTCCTGAGACTTGCATGTTGCTGTTGGACTTCCAGATTAAGAACTGTCATAAAATTCAATATACTCTGAGGTTTTTTTGTTTTTTTTTTTTTGGTATTTTTAATGACAAAACAGACCTAAAACTGCAGCTTCTGGAAGAACCACTTGTTCTTGCTGGTCTCAGACCTCTCCTCGAACTTGACCTTGGCCTCTCGTCGGGCCTTGCGTTTAAGAGCAGGGTCTCTGAAGACATCCTTGTTGAGGACAGTTTTGTCCAAGGGGATATCCACAGAGAACCTTGTGGGCTTGAGGTGATTGTAGTTACAAACTTTCACAAAAGACTTGATCTTTGACCTCTTGGTGATTTTCTTCTTGCCTATGGTAGCTGTTACTGCAGGGATAGTGGTCAATTCCAGCCACCAGAGCATGGCTGTAGGGACAGTCTGAGGTGCCATCTTGAATGTTCTTCATGATGACCACTTTGTGTCTGGAGTAGCATCTGGCCAGGACCAGCACCACCTTCCCGGGTTTCATGAACTTGCCCATCTTGATACCAGCCACCCCAGCCTATAGCTGAAAGGAAGAAAGGGCACTTCTGCTCCAGTCTGAGAATTCTTTATGTTGTGTAATCTGTTCATGGCATTCTCTCTGGAAATCTGTAACTGGGCAAGTCATATGGGGATAAGTATTAGAGTACAGTGAGCCACCCTGAAGTCATCCCTGTTTCTTTGTGTTTTATGTAGGACTTGCAATAACCCTTATGTGTATATCTTTTCAGGGCACAGGCTGGTGAGCTGTGGGTCAAGAATGAGAAGGTCATGTGTGGTTATATCAGCGAAGATACCAGGGTGAGATTGATAAAATGCCTTTTGGTTTTGTTTCTTCATACCATTATGTCTGAGTCCTGAAACCAAAAACAAATCAGAAACAAGTAAAAACTTGATAATTTCCTGATGGGTACTGTTTACCCAGGTAGAGAATATTGTAGTATTGTCAAGGACTCCTGGAATTCTAATGTTTTATAGTTGGATCTCTCCAGTTTGGGGTCAATCTTTTGTTTTATCTTCTTTTTTTTTAAATTTTTATTTATTTTTGAGAGAGCGAGAGCAAGCACAAGTGGAAGGAGGGGAGAGGGAGAAACAGACATCCCGTTGAGCAGGGAGCCTAATGCAGGACTTGATCCTAGGACCCTGGGATCATGACCTGAGCCGAAGGCAGATGCTTAACTGACTGAGCTACCCAGGCACCCCTTTGTTTTCTTTTCTAAAAGAGGTCTAGGGGCGCCTGGGTGGCTCAGTTGGTTAAACGACTGCCTTCGGCTCAGGTCATGATCCTGGAGTCCCGGGATCGAGTCCCGCATCGGGCTCCCCGCTCAGCGGGGAGCCTGCTTCTCCCTCTGACCCTACCCCCTCTCATGCTCTCTGTCTCTCATTCTCTCTCTCTCAAATAAATAAATAAAATCTTTAAAAAAATAAAAAAATAAAAAAAAATAAAAGAGGTCTAAACATGGAAATACAGTATCTAGCACTTGCAGGCTTCGATGCTTGCTAATACATAGCAGAAGTTAAACTCAGTAGAAGACTGCCGTTGGTAAACATCAACAGAGACTTTTGCAAAGGAATTTCCTTCTTTGGCTCTCTATTCCAATTGGAAAAATCCAAACTGAACAGCTGTAAACATTACCCATGCTGGTGAAACCACTTGTCTGCTCTTCCTTGTTCTCATCCCGTGCCTCCTTTGAGAGCAGTGGTTTGAATGGGGGGTGATCTTGCCTCCACTGGGGTCTTTTATCAATGTCTGGAGACATTTTTATGTGTCACAGCCAGGATTTTGTGAGGAAGGTTGGTAAACATGATACAGTATATACGACAGATCTCCAGAACAAAGAATTACCTGGTCCAAAATCGCAGTGATGTGATGGTGGAGGGGCTGTCTCACACATTATGGGATGTTTAGCAGCATCCCTAGCTTTTGTGCGCTAGATACCAGTAGCACCCTGGGAGTCGTGACAACCAGAAATGTCTCCAGGTATTACCAAGGGCCCCCTGGAGGAGCAAAATTGCTTCTGGTTGAGAACCAGTGCCTTTATAGGAACCCCTATCTGAATTCTATTTTTGTGTTTTTTTCTTGTTTATGTAGTGTTAGTACATATGTATTTTACCCTAAACAGTGTATTACTTGTTTTGCTTATTTTTGAGCTCTATTAAGGTTTTAGGTAGCTTTTTTGTACCTAATGCTATATAGAGAGAGAGAGAGAGAGAGAGAGAAATTTTTTTTTTTTAAAGATTTATTTATTTGAGAGAGAGAGCGAGCACAGGTGTGTGAGCAGGGGGAGGGGCAGAGGGAGAGGGAGGGGAAGAGAATCTCAAGCAGACTCCCACTGAGCGCAGAACCAGATGCAGGGCTTGATCTCACAATCCTGAATACATGACCTGAGCTGAAATCAAGAGTCGGACACTTAACTGACTGAGCCACCCAGGAGCCCCTATATATATGTTTTTTAAAGATTTATTTTTTAATTTGAGAGAGTGCAGTGGGGAGGGGCAGAGGGAGAGGGAGAGAGCCCCAAGCAGACTCCACGCCGAACACAGAGCCCAACACGGGGCTCGATTTCACGACTTAGATCATGACCTCAGCCGAAACCAAGAGTCAGACACTCAATCTACTGTGCCCCCCAGGTGCCCCCAATACTATATTTTTAATCTATAATTAGGAGTGTATAGGTCATAGGTAAGATAATGGCAAATTATTTTTCAAATTCTTTGGACCAGGTAATACTCCTAGTAGCAATATATAAAATCTCCTGTTGTTTTTCATTTTTTCCTACATTTGGTGTTAGATTTTTAAAGTTTTTGCAGCTCTAATGGGCACAAATTGTTATGTTATAGTGATCTAGTTTTGCTTTTCCCCACTTTTCTAGAAATTCACTCTTAAGCTTAACTTAGAAAGACCATGATAATTTGGCATATACTTACCTCTTCAACATCATTCATTCACATATTTAATAAATAATATGGAAGCACCTCCTGAGTGTCAGCTACTGTGCTTTTTTTTTTTTTTAGACACTTAATTTGAAAAAAATTGGTAAAGATGGGTGCTTGGCTGGTTCAGTTGGTAGAGCATGTGGCTCTTTATCTTATGGTCATGAGTTCGAGCCCCATGTTGGGTGTAGAGATTACTTAAAAAAAAAACCAAACACCAAACTGGTGTAGAACATTATCCATGAACATCCTTTACTCTAAAGATTTTATTTATTTGTCAGAGAGAGAGAGTGCACAAGTAGGGGGAGCGGCAGCCAGAGAGAGAAGCAGGCTCCCTGCTGAGCAAGGAGCCTGATGCAGGACTCAATCCGAGGACCCTGAGATCATGACCTGAGCCGAAGGCAGACACTTAACGACTGAGCCACCCAGGCATCCCTATGAACACCCTTCATTATAGAGGGGAATTCAAAGTGGGGAATTCCCATTCTGTGGGGATGCATGAGTGAACAGCACAGATGAAATCCTTCCTGGTAAAGAGTTTACACACCCTAGTGGGGAGACATATGTAAGTAGGCACCCAGTCCGTAAATGTAATTACAGATTATGATGAGTACTCCAAAGGAAATTAATTGGGTGATGAGAAAGACTAACTGAAGGTGGCCTTCTTGTAAACAAATGAGATATATTAAACATTCTTCGGGAAACAGCATTACAAGAGAGAGTAACAGATCATTACAAAGGTGGTCAGGGAGGTGTCTTTGAGAAGATGTTAGAAAGGTGAAACTTAGCCAGTGTATGGAGGTTGAGGCAAAGAGCTTTCCAGGCAAAGGAAACAATTTTGAGAGGCCAGTGTGGCAGAAGCATAGGAGATGAATAGAGAGAATGATGTTGGTGGGAAGGTGGACTGGTTGCAGCCAGTTCACACAGGTCCTTGTAACCAGTGTAGAATTTATTCTAAGGATAATTGGAATCCATTGAAGGATTTTAAGTGGGGGGAGTGATTCCCAATTTATGCTTTCAAAAGATCACTTATTCATCCAGTTGGATTTTGTTGTTGTTATGTAAGTTAACCTATTTATTACAGGCTAGTGATGTTTCAAATAGTGGAGCTTCTACTGGTCTCTGAATTCCTTTCGTCCACTGATGGCTGACTTCACTGTGATGGCAGAAGTGGTGTTGTGGGCCCAGGCACCACTGGCTACTGTTTTCATGTAGTAACCATAGTGCCAGATGCCCACAGCTCATCTTTTCATCTTAGTTTTCTCACAGAAGGAGCATGTGTACTTGGTGTGCTGGCTTTCTTCAATTTTCTTCACCATTTTCCTGAGGGAGACACCATAATGGGTGCTGTCTTTACCAGCGATTCTGACCTTCATGGTGCATTTAGCCATGTCACCACAAACTAGGTCCAAGTTCAGAGCCATTCATTTGGATTTTGTTGAACAAAAAACCCCCAAAGTAACAATGGCAAATTGATGCTCCAAAGTCAACTTTTTTCTCTCTGGTAAAAGAAGTCCATGGGAAGACCATTCCTGGCTGGTATGGCAGCGTCACTGTTATTGGTGAGCTAAGGCTCTTTTTGTCTTCCTGTTCTGCCATCCTCAGGACTGGGCTTCCATGATGAGCTGGAGCTGCTGTAACCACATTCATATTCCAGGTAGAGGAGAGAGGAAGGGAAGAAAGACAAGAGGGATGCACCTTCCAGTCATGTTAGCTTCAGGATGTGACATTTCTGTTAACATCTTATTGGCCAGAATTTAGTCACACATAGCTACTCAGGAAGCCGGGAGGTTTAGTCTTTTGATTGGGTCCCTTACCTCTTGGAATAGAATCAGCTTCCCATTACTTAGGAAGAAAGGTTGTGCCATAGGCACCCATAGGGGCTCTGTGTAGAGCATTGTTTGTAGGGGCAAGAGCAGAAGCAGAGAAACAAGTCAGGAAGGTAGAAGACTGTGGCATGGACTAAGGTAGGAGCTGTAGCATTGGAGGGATGTGGGCAGACTCGAGATGCATTTTGGGGTAGAGTCCACAAAACTTGCTGATGGATTGGATATGAAGCGTGAAGGAGAGAGAAGAATTGATCAGCTTGATGGACTGATGGTGGTGTCCTTTATGAGGTGGGGAAGACTGGGGATGAGACATTTGGGAGCAATTGGAGAAAGTTGTGAGATACCTGTTGGACTTCTGAGAGGAGAAATCCGGGGAGGCAGTGGAGTCTGGAGCTCATTTTGTCACTTCTCCCATATGTCCCCGTACCCCACCCTGTCCTGCCCTTGGGAACCATTTGTTTGTTCCTCAAACATGCCAGGTTCTCTCTTGCATCCGTGTCTTTGCACATACTGCTCTCTCCTGCCTGGAGCATTTAGGTCCCTGCCTTCCCTCCTTACAAGCTACTCATCCATCCCTCTATACTCGTCTCAGGCTCCCTTGCTTCTGGAAAGCCTTCCTGGTTCCTTGAGGCAGTCTGGGTATGAAGGACGTGTCCGATGTGAATTATAATTTATTAGACTGGCAGCTCATCAATTGGCATGTCTTAGCCCAGGTTCGACATTCATAATGAGGTTTTCTTGACTTTTCTAGGTAGATTTACTGCTCCTTCTCCTACATTTCTTATGAGTTTGTGTATGTTGCAGTCTTTTGCATGTTTTAATCCTCTACTCTAAGCTCCTAGAGGGTAGGGACAAGATCTTCTCTTCATGGCTTATGATGCCAGGGATGAAGCTTGCTTTTAGAAGTCCCATGTCACAATTAAGAAAAATCTTCCAGGGGCACCTGGATGGCTCAGTCGTTAAGCGTCTGCCTTCGGCTCAGGTCATGAACCCAGGGTCCTGGGATTGAGCCCCACATCGGGCTTGCTGCTCAGCGGGAAGCCTGCTTCTCCCTCTCCCACTCCTCCGCTTGTGTTCCTTCTCTCACTGTCTCTCTCTCTGTCAAATAAATAAAAGCTTAAAAAAAAGAAGAAAAGAAAAATCTTCCATCATTGCTCTTTTTTTTTTTGGTGGTGGTAAAAAACATATAAGATATACTGTCTTAACCATTTTATTTTGTTTTATTTATTTTTTAAGATTTTTAAGTAATCTGTATACCTAGTGTGGGGCTCGAACTTACAACTCTGAGATCAAAAAGTCTCATGCTGGGACACCTGGGTGGCTCAGTTGGTTAAGTGTCTGCCTTAGGCTCACTCAGGTCATCATCCCAGGGTCCTGGGATTGAGTTCTGTATAGGGCTCCTTGCTCAGCAGGGAGCCTGTTTCTCCCTCTGCCTGCCTCTCCCGCTGCTTGTGCTCTCTCTCTCTCTCTCCCTCTGACAAATAAATAAAAAAAAATCTTGGGCGCCTGGGTGGCTCAGTTGGTTAAGCAGCTGCCTTCGGCTCAGGTCATGATCCTGGAGTCCCTGGATCGAGTCCCGCATCGGGCTCCCTGCTCAGCAGGGAGTCTGCTTCTTCCTCTGACCCTAACCCCGCTCATGTGCTCTCTCTCATTCCCTCTCTCTCAAATAAATAAATAAAATCTTTAAAAAAAAAAGTCACGTGCTCTACTGACTAAGCCAGCCAGGTCCCCCCACCTTGTCTTAACCATCTTATTTTATTTTATTTTATTTTTAGAGAGAATGAGAGCGAGTGGGGACAGAGGGAGAGGAAGAGAGAATTTCAAGCAGGCTCCACACCCAGTGCAGAGTCCAGTGCGGGCCTGGATCTCATGACCCTGAGATCAGGACCTGAGCCAAGATCAAGAGTCAGACACTTAACTGAGCCACCCAGGGGCTCCTGTCTTAACCATTTTAAAGTGTATAGTTCAGAGGCGCTTGGGTGGCTCAGTCGTTAAGCATCCGCCTTCGGCTCAGGTCGTGATCCCGGGGTCCTGGGATGGAGCCCCACATCGGGCTCCCTGCTCAGCGGGAAGCCTGCTTCTCCCTCTCCCACTCCCCCTGCTTGTGTTCCCTCTCTCGCTATATCTCTCTCTGTCAAATAAATAAATAAAATCTTTATTTTTTTATTTTTATTTTTTTAAGATTTTATCATCATTGGTTTTTAATGCACCTACATTTTTGTTTATTTCAGGTGGTGTTCCGTTCTACGTCGGCTATGGTTTACATATTTATTCAGATGAGCTGTGAAATGTGGGATTTCGATATTTATGGTACAGTTCCTAAGTGCTGGTTGTAGCTGCCACTCGGTAGACATTTCTGGTTTCTCCCAAGTTGGTATCATTTTACAGTAAGCTATTGACATTCTCTAAAAATGTGTCCTGAAATCTTTACAAATCATCAAATGCCAAAATAAACAAATCGAAAGTAAATATTTTACATATATATATATATGGTGAATTCCATGAAATGCTATAAAGTATTAATGAGAAATCTGACTTCTCAGATCTTTAATTGTTCTGAAAAGTCATAAAGTCACTCTATGGCTAGGAACCAACACTTTCTTTGATACCATTCATTTCTCTTCCTGTCACTCACAGAAATCTCCATGTTTGTCTCATTTTATTAGAGTTACTATGTAATGAGTAGAGGGCAGTAAAGCTGCTATGAGGTGTGGCTACTGTGTCCAACACACCAGCCCTATGGTACATGTATTTCAAATTTGGTTTAGCAAAATTACAAACTAATTTCTTTTTAAAAATTTTTTATTTAAATTGAATTAACATATAGTGTATTATTAGTTTCAGAGGTAGGGTTCAGTGATTCATCAGTCTTATATAACTCCCAGTGCTCATTACATTACGTTCCCACCTTAATGTCCATCACCCTATTACCCCATCCCTCCTAACCCCCTCCCCTCCAGCAACCCTCAGTTTGTTTCCGGTGATTAAGAGTCTCTTATGGTTTGTCTCCCTCTCTGGTTTTGTCTTGTTTTATTTTTCCCTCCCTTCCCCTATGATCCTCTGTTGTGTTTCTTAAATTCCACATTCCACATTTCTCTGATTGACTTATTTCATGTAGCATAATACTCTCTAGTTCCATCCATGTCTACAAACTAATTTCTGTTATGGGTCATCAAAGTCACTCAAGAACAGTAGATACTGCAGCTGATAATTCAGTGAATGCCCAGGGTCATCGTCTAACCAATTTTAAGCATCATTGTGAGAATACTCACAATTAGAGGTTAGATGGTCCTCTCATTCTGAAGGTAACACTGCATTTTTCAGCCATCAAAACATTTTCAATCTTGGCTTTTACCTTAGAGCCACGGCTTCTTACTGAGTGAGGCAAATATTAAATTTGGCTTCATAGAAAGTCTAGGTTGAAACTACTTTTATACATCCGGCTTTTATGATCTTGTTTTAAGTATAGCAGAACCCACCTTGTGTTTGGTCCCATTCCTGCTATTTTACTGAGAGAAGATATTGTAAACAAGAAATAAAGATAATCTTTACCCTCTTCTCATTGTTGCTTTCCAGGGGATCTATATTTTGAGAAAGCTGTGAATGGTTTCCTTGCTGATCTCTTTACCAAGTGGAAGGTATGTTTCTTATGCACTAAATCTCATTGCATAAACATTACTATTGCAGATTTTAGAAATACACCACTTCTTTTAAGCTGCCTCTAGTTAAAGTATCTTAGCTAAAGCCTAAATTGATAAAAGTCTAGATTTACATTACTTTAACCACCTCAACATGATAAAAGTCATTTGTGAGAAACCCACAGCTGACATCAGACTCAATGGTGAAAGACTGAAAACTCTCCCCATTAAGATTTAGGAACATGATAAGGATGCCTGCCTTTACCACTCGTATTCAGTGTTGTACTAGAAATTCTAGCCACAGCAACTAGGCAAGAAAAAGAAATAGACTGCACCCATATTGGAAAAGAAGAAGTAAAACTACATCTATTCACAGATGAACTCTTATATGTAGAAAATCCTTAAAAATCCACAAAAAACTGTTAGAACTAATAAATGGATTCAGCAAAGTTCAGGGTACAAAATCAACACACACCATCATTTGTGTTTCATCAGCGATGAACAGTTTGAACAGGAAATTTAAAAACAGAATTAAATTTTAAAAAGAGAATTACATCAAAAAACAATTCCATTTACAAGAGCATCAGAGAGACTCAAATACTTTGGAGTAATTTACCCAAGGAGGTGCACGATTTGTATACTAAAATCTACAAAACTTGCTGAAGTAGATTAACAAAGATCTAAATAAATGAAAAACAACCCATGATCATAGACTGGGAGACTAAATACTGTTAAAGTGGCAATACTACTCAAAAGAAACTGTAGTTCAGTCCCTATCAAAATCCCAACGGCCTTTTTCTTTGCAGAGATGGAAAAGCTGATTCTAAAATTTATGTGCAATAGCAAGGGATCCTGCGTAGCCAAAACAACCTTGAGAGAGAACAACAAAGTTGGAAGACTCTTACTTCCAAATTTCAAAACTTACTACAAAGCTGAAGTAGTCAAAATAGCATGGTACTGGCATAAAGATAGATGATATAAGTCAATGGAATAGAATTGAGAGTACAGAAATCAATCCATACATCTATGGTCAGTTGATTTTAGACAAGGATGTGAAATCCATTCAACGAGGGAAGTCTCTTCAACAAACGGTTCTGAGCCAAATACCCACATGCAAAAGAATGAATTTGGATTCTCACTACACATCCATATACAAAAATTAACTCAAGGTGGGGTGCCTGGGTGTCTCAGTTGGTTAAGCGTCCAACTCGTGATTTCGGCTCAGGTCATAGTCTCAGGGTTGTAAGATCAAGCCCTGCTTTGGGCTTCCTGCTCAGTAGGGAATCTTCCTCTCTCCCTCTCCCTGTGCCCCTGCCCTCGCTCGAGTGCTTTCTGTCTCTCAAATAAATAAATACATCTTAAAAAAAAATTAACTCGGGGCACCTGGGTGGCTCAGTCAGTTAAGCATCTGTCTTGGGCTCAGGTCATGATCCCAGGGTCCTGGGATTCAGTCCCGCATAGGGCTCTCTGCTCAGCGAGAAGCCTGCTTCTCCCTCTTCCTCTGCCTGCTGCTCTGCCTACTTGTGCTCTCTCTCTGTCTGTCATTATGAATAAAATCTTAAAAAAAAAAAAATTAAAAAAATTAACTCAAGGTGGATCAGAGACCTAAATAGGAGAGCTATTTGAGGTCACGTTATGTAGTGGAAAAGAGCATGGAGTTTGGATAAAAACAGACTGGGTTTGAAATTATGGTTCTACTCTGATTTGCTTTTTTATCTTGGAGAAGTAGTCAGTCTCCTGGGCCTCTATTCTCTTTTCTGCAAAATGGAGCTAATAATATATTGTTCCTGCTTCACAAGGTGTCTTAAAGCATCTGTACATAGTAAGGTCTCAGTAGGATCCTGGTCTCAATTGAATCTAAGTCCCATCTTCCTCAGCCATACGGGAGCAATGTCCTTCAGCTCTGAAGGGTACAGAAGTAGAAATACAATGCTTGCCCCCGGAGACTTACAGATCTTCTAGGGAGCTTACATCTCTGTATTTGAAGCAATAGCAAACCGTATGTTTTAGGGGTTGAAACTTTATTTACTTTTGAATTTGGGCCTGGAAGGCTGAAGAAGTTTTGGATGGTTGGAAAGGAAGATGGAGAGGGTGTGTCAGATGAACAGTTCGAGCAAAAGGATGTAGACAGGCGTGAGAGTGGGGTGTGGTCTAGGTCACTTCACAGAGGGTTTGTGTGGGGAATAATTAAGTAATGAGATGGATTAGAAGGATAGGGTTGCATCAAGCCAGGCAGTTTTGGACTTGACAGGAAGTGTGGGAGCTATTAAAGATTCTCAAGCAAGAGGCCAGTATGATCAAAGTCAGTGAGAATTTGAGAAAGAAGAGTCCAGTGGCCAGGAGCAGTTTGGTGAAGGGACACGCTGGAATTAAGCAGACCAGCCAGGAGGCTTCTGCAGTCATGTGGCTTAACAGTGATCAGGCCTTGGTGTCTTCCTGAGTATGGTACCTGAAGTTTGGGGTGGGCTGAATAATGGTTACCTTGGACCACATAATGGCCATTTCAATCTGTGAAAACCTTCATTTCAAGTCTGGCTCAGTTGTCTCTTAGATGTCCCCTAACCCAAGATTCTGTAAGTGGATGTATGATTAGATGTAGCTGCAGGATTTGGCATAGGCCCAGTCATTGGTTTACAGGACTTTATTCTTAGGATTTATTTTTTAAAATCAAGAACTTGGTTTTGTTTTATTTTTTATTTTTTAAAGATTTTTATTTGCGAGAGAGAGCACACAAGCAGTGGGGAGGGCAGAGGCAGAGGGAGAAGCAGACTCCCTCCTGAGCAGGAGCCCGATGCGGGACTTGATCCCAGGACCCTGGGATCATGACCTGAGCTGAAGGCAGACGCTTAACCGACTGAGGCACCCAGGCGTCCAAGAACTTGGTTTAATTTAATTTAATTTAATTTTTTAAAAAAGATTTTATCGGGGGCGCCTGGGTGGCTCAGT